CATAGCTTGTAGCAACACATATAAAACTTTTTAGAAATACTTCCATTCATTTAACTTTCCATATTTTTCCTTTTCAACAAAGTGATAATGGTTTTCAGACCAAGGAGGATGATATAAATGCTCACAGATATTAGTTAACATTATGGCTTGAAGATTAAGCGTCGTACAATGAATGACAGTAACCATGTGGCCAGGGTAGATTTGATTTAAATCGAGTTGATTTAAATCACAATTTAAATCATAATTTAAATCACTAGTAAAAAGGCTTGATTTAAATCAACTCAATTTAAATCATAATTTTTAAAGAGCAACTGTCATCTCTGCTACTCCTTTGACCCACTGTTGACTCACCGATAGTCCCAGTGTTGCAGAATATACAGCCTCATGCTACATAACTAAGCTCCATTTCATGCTGAATAAACTAAATTATTTATGTATCTTAAATAGAAAACTATCTTACGATAGATTTTTACCCCAAAAGTTTTTTATTAGAATAAATTCGATAAAAATCAAAAAAATCTGATTTAAATCAAAAAAATCTGATTTTTTTGATTTTTTTAAAAAAATCATTGATTTTTATCCACCCTGCATGTGGCTTGCTTTTAGGAGATATTTACCAGAGCTGCAAGTTTTAACTGACAATTTGATTAGTTATGATAAAAGTTATAGCAGAGATTCACACTGTGAGTTTCTTCCAAACTTCTCATCAGATTCCAGGAAGATAAGGCTGAACATCTGCTATATTCCCAAGTGGCTGCAGGCTTCTGTATACATGAGAAAAATGGAAAGGGCTTTCATTGCAACCACTCTCACTGAAAATTACCTATTAAGAAAGCCCAATGGAGAGTAACTGAGCAATAATGTGCCCCCTTTGAAATGTATAGGAGAGCCATTTTAATGTAGTGGTTAAGGCAGAAGGCTAGAAACCAGGAGACTGTGAGTTCTAGTTCTGCCTTAGATACAAAGACAGCTGGATTTTTTTTTTTTTAATTTGATTTATATGCCGCCTTTCTCCGGAGACTCAGGGCGGCTTACAATGTACTCAGCAATAGCCTTCATCCTTTTGTATATTTATACAAAGTCAGCTTATTGCCCCCACAAACTGGGTCCTCATTTTACCTACCTTAGAAAGGATGGAAGGCTGAGTCAACCTTGAGCCTTGGCGAGATTCGAACCTGCAGTAATTGCAGGCAGCTGGTCTTAATAACCAGCTTAATAACAGGGTGCCTTAGACCACTGTACTACCAAGGCTCTTGGTAGTACAGATGACCTTGGACCAATTATTCTCTCTGACACTTAGGAAAGAAGCAATTGTAAACTACTTCTGAAAAACCTTGCCAAGAAAACTGCAGGGACCGGTCAAAAACTGAAGACAAGCGGGTGCATGGATGCACACACACGCACACACACACAGTGTAAGATTAGTCAGGGGTTTAGCCTCATCAGAAATAAGAGTATACAGTAACTGTCTTCTGTTTTTGAACCATTTAACAGGCCAATATAATTTAATCCTAGCAGAGTTTTATAGAGAAAGCCAACTAATTTCCCAATCATTCTCTTTGCCTACCAACGTTGACTTTCTTCTTCAGAAAGGACTTTGGCCTGAAGATCCGACTGCAATTTATAGCACGATTGCAAATTTTAGTTTAACGCAGTGTTTTCCAAACCTGGCTAAATTACCCCAAACTGGATAAAAATAGTCTTTCTTTGGATAACAATGCACAAGGGCATTACCCAATTACAAAACAGGGACATTGAAACGGACTTTTTTTTAAAAAAAAAAATTACTTACATTGGGTAAAATTGGCTTTCTGATAAAATGGTTTTGTAAAACGAAGGGAAAAATTTGGGAAGTCCTGGTTGCTGTTTTATCATTCCTTCATTTCTGTAACTATTTGCATTTAAATTGATGACGATTCTCAGGCATCCAGGTAAAGCTGTCTGAAAGTTGGGTCATGGCAATTGGACTTCTTTTCTGTTTTGGCTTGCAACGTTTTAGTGTTCTCATTCAAATAGCTTCTTCAGATTACTTGGATTTCTTTTCATTATTAGGAATGAAAAATAATTTCATTATTTTTGCCCTACTTGATCTATTTTCACTGAATGCTATCAGAGCCACAAATGTGGCCATAAGAAGGCAAGGAAACACCTTTAGGTAGATACTCCCTGAGTTGTTTTGTTTTCCAGATGTTTCTTTTTTCCTTCCTTCTTGAGTTATAAGGACATTTTAAGTGGATTGTTAAGCATTTATGTCATTCGCTGCTCTGCTTACTTTTAAGACATGTCTGTCAGGCCACAAATAAATAAGAATATGGAAAGATTTTGGAGTCTGTATTTCTTAAAGAATTTGCTAATATGTAGGCTGTAAATACAAAAAAATAACATTTAGGTAGACAACTACAGTATTGTATCTAAAACCCTTTCAATGTTGGTTTCCAGATTAAGTTAAAAACTCCTTTTTTTCCACAGAATGTTTAATTGGCATTTATTCTTCTTACTATTGTAGCTTTAAAAAATGAGGATCAGAAAGCCTAATTTCTATATTGACCAGATTAGATAACTCTTAATCTTGGAAAGAAACACAGGATAAGATTTACTTTTCAAAAAACAAAGCTTCTTAGTTTGTAAATCATTCATCAAATCAGCCATTTTTTAAAATTATAACAAAATAAATAAAACCTGAGTTCTGCCATACTCACTTCACTAACTCTATTCCAAACAGTAGTGGGTCATTATTGTTGAACTACCACTCCCAGCAGCCCCAGCCAATATGGTCAGTGATAAAAGAGGTTAAAATATAGACTTTGGCCACATTTGGAAAGCATCACTGGTTGAGATTAAATCCTTTTATGGGGTATCAGGCCAAGAGCTATGCTTCAAGGTTTTACCTCTGAATTTGGGAACTCCGCTGTGTTTCTTTTATTTACGTTGTCTGCTATAAGAAATAGCATGGGCATTAGGAAAGGCAGAATGAAAAACTTGTAAAGTATCAGCCAAAGGTATTTTATAGGTTATTTAATGGAGGGAAGGGATAAGGAGTTTGGATGAGATCTAGGCTTTAAGAAGTTTCTACTTCACCAAAAGAAACATTTTTGAAGTCCAACTGCTGTGCAGAACAGGCAGGCTAAATATTTCCCAACTCTGGTTTATGCATTCTGCAAAATCAAAAACTATCTGGATTACATTTCTTTAGCAGCTGGCTGCATTTCTAAAATTTAAATCTGAAATACCCTGTATGTCTGCCTATATATACAATTTAAATGAACTGAATTCTAAAACTTTTAATCTATCCATGGCCAAAGATAACTAATGTTAAGTTAAACAAAGGTTTGTTTAACATTTAGTATCATTTTTCCTGAAAGCTAATCCCTTTCTCTTAACACTGTTCTGTTCCTGAAGGTAGAATCAAATGTACCCCTGCAGTTGAATAATAGGAAACATTACTATTATTCAAGATAGCCAGCTTGTAAAGCACTTTAAGTTTAAAATCTATCCAGTTGCGAATAACAGCTTGCTTTATGTACGCTATGGTGTGCAAAGTTTAAGGAGAGCCTCCTTAGACTCAATGAGGACAATCTCAAGGGATGCCTGGAGAAAAGCAAAAATTGAACAGGACTATGTTGATATTTAAGATAATTGCTGAAACCAGAAAACTCTTTGAAAACACTCCAAAGCAGTAGGTAAAAATATAAACAGACTGAAGCATGTTTAATTTTCAACTGGCCTGTGCCCAGTGATGCAATGAAATCCTTTTAGATTCTGGGTTGAATGGTTTTATGCCACTCCTTAGACAGCAACATGTATTGTTATTTACTTCAGAATGGAAGAGGGAGACAGCTTTGCTATCCTCGAGGTGTTTTCCCTCAGCTTCTATTGAGCAGAAGGATGGATTTTTTTAACGCTATTTTTCCTCCTTTGGACCCGCTGATAAGCCTATTAAAGGGCGCTCGCTCCATATCAGAAACAAACAAAACTTGGCACCCCATGTGAGACTCGACACCGCGCTGTCAGCTGGCTTCCAAGAACATGTTGCTGGTACTTGGTTGACAGAAAGCCTGCAGCAAGGCACACTGGAGCAATTAATGGAATTACTAGGGCTACAATCTTGCGCCCAGAGCACCCCTTTAGCCCAAAGCTGCTTCTCAGCAAGTGGGCGGATGTGCACCGTCCCCGGAAGCGAGCCAATTCATGCCCTGGAAACCAGCTTCGCTTCCAGCCCAGGGAGCTTTTGAACGGCAACCGGGAGGAGATCCCACCACCCGGCAATGCACAATAGCCCTCCTTGCGCTCCCTTCCCCCACACCAAGGGTGGGCTTCTCAATGCGCTCCTGTAAGCCTCAACTCCGAGCGAACCACCTTCCTTCCCTCTTTCTCCAACGGCGCGGCGTTGCAAAATCGTCTTACCTCTCCCCTTCCCCCAACCCCGTCTCTTTCACACAACCCGACCCCTTCCTTCTCTTGAGGGCCAGCGCTATTTGGCCGCCTCGCTGCAAAGAAAAGAAAGCGCAAGAAAGTCCCGAGCCGGAAGAGTCACATTACCTGTCTGACCCAGGCTGCCAACCGAGCGCGGGCGTCCTCCACCTGCCCTGCTCCTGCTTGCGTCCTGATCCCGGCTGGCCAAAGGCGGGCAGCGCGCGACTTCCCCAACAAAGGAGAAACTTCTGCGAATCGTGCGCGGCGGCGAAGCAGGCAAGGAGCGCGAGCAGCTGGCTGGGGAGGGCGGGCAGGCAGGCTCGCGGGCGCCCAATGGGAAAGTTAGGTTCGTGCAGGAACCGCAGCTGCTGCTGCTGCTGCTGCTGCCGGTGCGTCCGCCGACCTGGCCTGGTTGGAGGGGAAGCCGCTCCGACCGACCGATCGACCGCCGGCGGCAGCAGCAGCCTTGAATTGTGTGACCCCGGGCGGGCAGGAGCGCCAAGGAGTGCCTTCGAGCTGGGACGGAAGGGGAGGGCTGCCGCCTTCGCCGCACCCTTGTCCGCCACACAGCACAAGAGCGCGGCGAGTGCTGGAAACGCTTCCTCTCGGTGGGGGCGGAGACCAGGGGCGCCCTGTCTCCCCCTTCCCGGGTATGAATCAGGAAGAGAAAAGAAAGGCGAGGCTGATCAGCTGCTACCCCGCCGGAGGGTTAATTTTATTGGGCAGCTCCCAGCACTCGGGGAGAACAAAGAGTTGCTTTGGGGCATGTCAAGAGCGCTTTTCCATTTAGGGAAAGTGACTCTCTAGCTCTGGGAGATTTTTTTTTTCCCCCCTTAAATCTTCTGCGGTGGTTTCACCTCCCAAGCCCTCCTTGCCTCAGGAAAAGAGATCATAAAAGGCTTTATGTTGCCTTGCTTTAGCTGCTTTGAAAAAGTTCAGCAGGGTCAGGATGGGTTAATATTTCTAAAGCAGGCCTCCGGGAAATCCCAGGACTTCTGGATTTCCAAGAGGCTCTTAGGAATCCCAGGACGTGTCAAAGATGAGAGTTAAGATGCTACTCGATTAGAACCAAAAAGATCCACGATTGAATCAACTCCCTGCCATGGTGGTACCACTACCTGATTTGGAACCAGTCATTCTCTCTGCATCATAATAAGAACATTTCTAAGAGTGGTGGATGTAGGAAATTAACATACACATATTGTGATCAATTGTGGTCAGTTGAGGATCCCCTGTATAATAATGTTCAACTATGAAGATCAATAGCGGAGTTGAACTGCTGTAACTCTTAATCCAACTTTTCCAAATCCCAACTTTGGAAGGATTTACCTCTTAGAAACAATGTGTTAAATCTGCATTACTTTGTAAAAACTGTTATTTTGTCCCCCATACCCAAAGCAGTATATCAATTATGTATGTACATTAAACATATAACCTGAGGATGGGGTAACTTTGGCCCAAAGACATGCTTAACTATATTCCCCCAAAATTTATTTACCATTCCAATCATCTACTCTGGAGCTCACAATCCTAAATTTGGGCAGCTGAGAACCATATCAGTTACAGGGGGTTGAACTAAAGCAATGTTTCTTCTTTTTTTTTAATTGTAGTGTGTCTATTTTAGGACCTACCATAGTATTCATTTGTTCTGTAACTAAAAATAACAGAAAACTGCAGAAATGAACAGACCCTGTCCCAAAAAACAGATTTGATAACCTCAGTTGAGGTGCGCAGTAAGTTGTTGGGTTGTTAAGATTATTGCACAAGATTATTGCACAAGGCATAAACTATATATGAAAATTAAATCTAAGCCAACTCTGATCTTTAAACCTTTTGCTTCCTTTTAAACTGCTACGTAAGAAAGAGATTCAACTATTGGCCCTCCTCGTCTTTTCCCAGCAAAGTTAGAAATTGAGGACAGGATCTCCATTTGATCATCCATCCCACTGGCTACATTCACAAGGTACATTGAACTTACTTATTGCACTTATCCACTGTCTTTTCTGAGATCAGGCAGCACACATGGGAGTTACCATTCATTCTGGCTGTACAACCATCTCCTTATGCAGTGGTTGGGCTGAGGGAGTCATAGGCCCTGTGCACAGGACCATTGCTTGAATGAAAACATAGATCTGACTCCCTGCTGCCAATCCAACATCTTAATAATGGGCATATTTCAAATCTCAGCACATGTAATTAGTTTTATTGGTTTATGGTCTAACTGAATAAATAATGGATAACTGTGTCATGCAAGTATAACCGGTATTTCTTTTACTAGGCAGTTAAAATATCTACCTTACTCCCAGTCTTTAATACTGTTAAAAATATTTTTTACATGAGCATTAAATTACCTGAATTATGCTATTCTTTAACTGCCTAATAAAAGGAATACCGGTTCAATATAGTAAGTATCTATCTTACTCCAGTCTTTAATATCATTAAAAATATTTTTACTTGAGCACTAAATTACTTGAATTATGCTATTCTTATTATATTGAACTATGCTGAACTTCCTTTGAGGAAGGAATCATATTTAGTAGCATTTAATATAATATATTATCAGGATATTGGTTTAAAGGAGATGCAAATACTGTAGGTAATCATTTGACCCTAGGTTGACAGAATTCTAAAATAAGATGACATTCTTAAAGTTAATTCTTAAACTTAAGGAGCCTGGTGGCACAGCAGACTAATAGCCTGTTATTAACATTCAGCTGCCTGCAATTACTGCAAGTTCGAATCTCCCCAGGCTCAAGGTTGACTCAGCCTTCCATCCTTTCAAAGGTAGGTGAAATGAGGACCCAGTTTGTGGGGGCAATAAGCTGACTTTGTATAAATATACAAAAGTATGAAGGCTATTGCTTAACGCATTGTAAGCCGCCCTGAGTCTCCAGAGAAGGGCGGCATATAAATCAAATTAAAATAAAAAAATAAAAAAAAGTTGAATATTGGGGCTATGTCCAAATGAATGCTTTGATATATGCAAGCAGTAAAAATTAGGGCATTCCAGACAGAGTTATACAATTCCATAAAGACTCCCAGGGAAAACAATTCCTTTAATATTAATTCATTCATATACTCTGTGTGCACACATACACTCAAACATGCTGTGTTTGTAACTGTATACACCTAATGTATACATTAATTAAGCATCATCTTCAGGCTTCTCTGGGAGAGAAGTTTTGGGAGGAAGGGGGCCTGGATAGCTATGTAGGTAGATGACTTCAAATTAGGATTGACTATCTGCGTAAGTCTCTGCAATTCTCAAGATTTCTTAAGTGGTCTGCCATTGCCCACTTCCTAGGGCTGAGAGAGAGTGACTGGCCCAAGGTCACCCAAGGTCTTGAGGTTTGTGCCTCAAGAAGGAACTTAACAGTCTCTTGATTTCTAACAGGATGCCTTAGCCACTATAGCAAACTGGCTCTTTCTTGGATATTTATTTCATTGCTTTTCTCCAATTGTTTGTGTATACTCTGGAGATCTAGAAGAGTGTACTCAAATCAAATCACATTGTTAAAACAATTCCATCTTATGGGATGTCAGAGATGGGCTTCTTTGTGGCTGGGCCCTCTTCTGAACAGCATCCACCCAAACAAATCCACATGGCGGGACCTTGTTGACTTTTAAGAAGGTCTTGGGATATTCTTCATCAGGTTTTGAGGCAATTTGAGATCCCACTTTTGAAACTGATGGATGTCTGCATAGTGTTTCTAGTTGTGGATTCCCCAGCATGGGTTGCCAAAGTATTTTGTTTTGTTTATGGCGATATGTGCACCATTGAGAGACTTGAAAGAACAGATTAGGGCTAAATCATCATCTGGAAAATCTATGTCAACCATGCTTGCCTGGGCTTCATATGAGGCATGTAATATAGTTAATATATGTGTGTACAATAATGTTTAAGGTTTATGATCTTGTGGGGCTACATTACTAGCTCTCCAGAGCTACATGTGGCCCATGGGTTGAACATGCATGATGTATCCAGTTGCTAGGAGTCAAAAACGACTTTATGGCACATAATTTAAAAGGTCACACAGTACCTAGAATTGCTGTGGCAATTAAGCTGGTTCACAATTGATTAAATTTGACTAAATAAAATGGTTTTTTTGTGGCAAAACCAAATGAAAAGTAGCCTTTGGTGTGCTGTAGTCTGTTCTACAAAGATGATCCTTCATTTGACAACTTGTCTGCTGTTAGATTGTCCAGGCCAAGCCCCAAAAGAAAGACCCGCAGGAGAATGTAGGGCTGTGAAGCTGGCCCCCCACAATTAGCAAATGACTAACAGATGGAGCTGGCCTACATATTATCTTGTCAGTGTGCTGCAAGGGATGAGAGATAGTGGGTTCTGTTTAAACGACAGAACAGCGGCCCTTTTTTTTTTTTTTTGTATTTCTAGACAAACGTTATGCAAATTTACGACGTCCTATTTTTTTGAGGGAGGGAGGGAGGGATTTCCTCCTTTTTTTCCCCCTTGCCCATTGAGCCTAAATGACCAGGCTCGAATCGCATTCGTTTCCGCAAGGGAACCTTAGTTGGCGAAGAACCACGAAACAAAGCACGTTTCTGAGAAGGGAGCGAGTTCCGTGGAGGGACGTCCTTGCAACATCTTGCGAGTGAAAACCTGTTGCAAAATCCTTGTTCCAAAGTCACTTTGAAAAAATGCCTCCTGACTCAGCAGCCGCTATTCTCGCCCCAGACGCAAATCGAAAGCTGGCTAGCTAGCTTGCAGTCTAGACCACGTTCAGATCATTGATTTCATTAAATCAGCCTCAGTGAAGCCGCGGACCAGTCAGCCCGGTTCCTAAGGGAAGTTTCCCGCCTTTCAGAACTAAAGCAAGCACGTTTGCAAATTGCAAAGGCGAGCGTTGAGAAAGAGGATTTCCCTTCTGCTTTTTCGAAGAAGTTGCTTTTGTTCCACCTCCGATTTCGCGACTTACCTCTCCCAACCGGCAGCCCCGCGGAGTTATTAATTGCAAAGACGCGAGCCTTTCTTGGCGCTCCTGCTGCAGCTGCTCTCAGAAAGCGACCGCCTGGCAGCCGACCTGGTTCGCCGGCATCCGTAAAATTGAGCCGCTGCCCGGCTTTTTTCCTGGCTCTTACTCCGTTTTAAAGGAACCGCATCTCATTCTGACTTTCGCGCGGTTCTTCCCGCACGGGCAACGTGCAGGTTATGGATTGAGTTCTACAGTGCTCTCTCTGCCTTGCAGTGATCAGACCTCGTAAAATAATAAAGTTTCTGTCCCGTATGCTCACAGGTCTTGCACTGTAAATATATTTCACAACATTCCCCAACGGACACTGGGAGTCAGCTCAGTATTGGCTTTTTTTCTGAGAAAGTTCACACAGTACATTTCACAACAGAATCTGTTGTTAAAACTCAGCTGCGTTTGCTCAGTTCATGATCTGTGCTATCCAAAGCCGGAAAATTGGTTTAATAGGGAAATAATAATTAAGTTTCAAGGAGTAGCATCACTGTGAGTTTGTTCGATGTAGCCTTTAAAAGAACAGCACTAGAAACACATACTGAGTTCTGGTTCTGACTTAAATGTGGTTGCCAGCTGAGTGACCTTGGGCCACTCCCTCTCAGTTGGGGAAAGGCAAGGGCACAGGACTCCTTGCCAAGAAAATCTTGCCAAGAAAAATGCAGGGACTCGTCCTGACAGTTGCCAGGTATCAAGACTGACTTGAAGGCACCAAAACACACACACACACACACACACACACACACACACAAACAAACAAACAAACAAACACAAACATATAGTAACACTGTAGCCTTACTCTCAGTCTGAAATTCTGTTATTTACTTTAAAGGCTAGATATTTTCTGAATCTACAGAATGTGTTCAAACGGTAGTGAGATGCTAGAAGTTACAGTAAAAGCCTAATAGCCATAAGAATTGCTAGTTCAGCCTTCCTATATGGCATTGCCCATGTTTGGGATTTGAATGCTTCTGAGTTTGGTTCCCAGATTGTAGAAACGGCCACAAAAATTGCAAATCACTGTTGTGGACATATAGGACACTGCAACAAGTCGTCAATGGGAGCCAGTTGCAAGCACTTGCCTCTTTTGAACTTTTGTCATTAAGCAACCAGTCATAAATCAAGGACTACCGTGTTTTCCCCCAAATAAGACTCTGTCTTATATTTTTTTTGAACCCTGAAATAAGCGCTTGTTCTTAATGTCGTGTGCTCAAAAGCCTGATTGGGCTTATTATCAGGGGATGTCTTATTTTGGTGGAAACAGCATCTGTATACTGTCTATTTGTGCAACTCTAAAATTATTCTCAGACATGTTAAAACAGGAATGTCAAACTCAAGGCCCGTGGGCCAGATCTGGCCCGGGGGGCTGTCCTGGAAACAGTGAAGGAACCGGTCATGATGCCTCTGCCAGTGAAAAAGGTTTGCAGGAGGCCGTCGCAGCTGAAAACAGAGCTTGCAAGGGCCGCGGGTAGCCCTCCGGAGTTTTCGCTGGAAGGGGGTTGCAGGAGGCTGTTGCAGCCAAAAATGGAGCTTGCAAGCCCGTTTTCTCTGGCAGAGTGCTTGGGCCACCACAGGTGACCCTGACACGAGTGACATCAAGCTGGCCACACCCACCCTGGCCACGCCCACCCGGGCTCCCAAGGTCAAACACAACCCTGATGTGGCCTTCGAGGAAATCAAATTTGACATCCCTCGGTTAAAATTTATCTCTGGAAAAAAAATCTTGAATTTTACCTAAATTGCTGCTGTCGGCTAAACTCTTCTTATCCAAGAGCCCTGTGGAAAAGAACAGGGCATAAGTCAAAGGTTGGGCTGTTCTAAAATAAGAAGGCTGATGCTAAGAATATCTTTCTCCAGGTCTGCTCATCTCTAGCATAGTCCTCCCCAAGCATCCTCTCCCTGCTGGATGTCACCTCCTGGGTAGATTCTTCCTAAACAAGAAGACATTCCAAAAGGTAGCAAGTGCTATCTGGCGCTTTCCAGCTCAACCCTCTTCCTTGATATGAGCTTGAATACTTATTGGGAACTTAATGCAGCTCCCACAAGATAAGAGGCTATTCTGTTGAATTGGTTGGTGCTGGGAAGCAGGTGGGCAGCTCCATTTTGGACCAGGTGCAGCTTCCAAACCACCTTCAAGTATAGCCCCGTGAAAAGTGATTTACTGTAGTGTAAAGCAGATTTTTTTTCAACCTATGTTCCATAGGTGTCACTAGGGGTTTGGCAAGAGAGAGTGATTTAAAAACAGTAATGGTTTTTGAACTTCGCACACTACACAGTGTTAATGCTTGCAATAGTGGGAATTTTTACGTGCCACGACCTAGCTACCAGACTGAGACTGCTTTGGTCTTTGTAAAACATGGATTGCGCAGGTTTGATGTGAATTGTATTGTGATTTTTTTTTAGCAGGCGTTCCTTGAAATCTGTAAATTATTTCAAAGCTCATCCAGGATAAGAAAGTTGAGAAGGATAGTTTAGAACCTTTTCCCCATGTTTTTATTAGCTGGAGGTCAATGTGGCAAGGCAAAAGAAAATGAGAAAAAATTAAATTTAAATTAAAAATTAAAAGGTTCTAAGTTTTTACATCAGTTTTGCTTCCCAAACTGTTTTCTTTTTTCAATACAGGCAGTCCTTAATTTACGACCGTTCCAAGTTACAACAGCACTGAAAAAATGACCATTTTTCACACGTATGACTGCTGCAGAGTCATGTGATTTACATACAAATGTTTGACAACTGGTTCATATTGATGACGGTTGCAGTGTGCTGGGGTCATGTGATCTGCTTTTGTGACCTTCTGACATACAAAATCAATGGGGAAGCCAGATTCGCTTAACAGCCGTGTTACAAATTTAACAACTGCAGTGACTCACTTAACATCGGTGGCAAGGAAAGTTGTAAAATGGGGCAAAACTCACTTAACAAATTTCTCACTTAGCAACATGAATTCTGGGCTCAGTTGTGGTTCTAAGTCGAGGGCTGCCTGTACTATATTCCCCCGTTTCTCTGCATGTGTGTGTACACATGCACAAAGAGGAATGAATCAAATGTATAGAGCTTAATGAATTCCAATTTATATAGGTACAGTCATTTAACATCTTACCCCGTGGTGACCATTTGTGGAAGCGGTCCGTTGCAACAGCAGGAAATTGCCAAGAGACGTTAAGGAATTGATGTTTAGCAACATAACGATCAATGTGCATCAAATAAGGACCAATTTAAATCTAACAGCTGGTAGTGATAAACAACATTGTATTTATCAATGTAGGAACAGTATGCCACATCAGCCTAAACTTTTAAAGATTATAATTCAGGCACTATACATATACCAGATATGTCTATGTTCTATTAGTGAATGAAGTTGAAGAAGGACATTTAATCAAAAGTGGAATCTTCTGACCCTCTCCTTATGACCATTCCAGAAGAGAAAGGGTACACAAAGGGCCCCAGTACTTTAATGCAGATCATTAGACTGCAAACCATACAGTAGTGGCCAAAATTGTGGAAACCTTTTGGGAAAAGTGTATTTTTGAGGTTTGATGGCTAATAACACCACTTTTTTTTTGGAGTTTCAAGATAATCATATTCCACTGCTGGAATGGCCTGGGAACAGCCCAGACCTTAACCCAGGGGTGAAATCCAGCAGGTTCTGGAGAACCGATACCAGAAATTTTGAGTAGTTCAGAGAAGCGATAGTGGAAATTTTGAGTAGTTCGGAGAACCGCCAAATACCACCTCTGGACGGCCCCAGAATGGGTGGGAATGGAGATTTTGCAATATCCTTTCCCTGCCATGCTCACCAAGCCACGCCCATCAAGCCACACCACATCCACCAAGCCATGCCCGCAGAACCGGTAGTAAAAAAATTTGAATTTCACCACTGCCTTAACCCAATTGAAAATCTATGGAGCCGACTAAAGAAACTTGTTAGTCAGAAGCGACCCAGCAATAAAACCCAGTTAATAGAAGCAATGATTCACATTATAATAGCTGCAGAACTAAAAGACTTGGTTCACTCCATGGAAAGATGTTGTAAGGCCATAATTCATGCTAAAGGTTACCAACTAAGTATTAACTGACATGATGATAATTTTTGCATATCTCGTTTTTTCTATGGTGATAATTTTTGGATATCTAATTTTTTCTATGTGTTTCACTTTTCTTTAACTGCTATTCTAATAGCAAATCCTTCATTACAGTTATTGTTGTGGTCCGCCAGCAGCCTGTGAAGCTGACAGCGGAGTCGGACAGCGATGAGGCAGAGGAAGAACATGGGCCAGTCCTGGAGGCTGAGGAAGGCCCGGATGAGGGCTCTGCGTCAGAGACAGAGATAGGGCCAGGGCCATCAGGGAGTGAGGTGCCGACTCCAGAGCCTGATAGGAGTGAGGCAGAGGAACAGGAGGAGCCTATTCCTAATGCACGCATGAGAAGACCTGCCAGAAGGCAAGAACAGCTCAAACAAAGAGGACAACTCGGGAGTAGGGCCAAGAGATGATTGGCCATCTCCCATAAGGCTTAAAACAGACCAGCAATGTCGTTTGGGCTTTGCCAGAAAACAAGGTTGGTAGCTTCGTCTTCTTCTTTGTCTACGTCTTGTATTTATTTTTGTATCTGTGACTTCTGAACGTTTGCCAAGAAAGGTCTTTGGCAGTTTGCCTCATTGGACTAAGGTTTGCGATAGGACTAAGAAATTTGTGTTGGGAAGAATTTGCTTTAATTTAGTTGAATGACGCTGGGAATGAAGTAATTCTCAGGTGTTCGAATAAAGTTTGTATGTTTTTTCACTGACTGATTTTCCTACTACTTACTTGGGCCTGGATCACAACAATTATTGCATTACATTCTTTTTTTTTTAATTAGATTTATATACCGCCCTACTCCCGAAGGACTCAGGGCAGTGAACAGGCACAAAATAAAATACATAGATACAAAAGTTAAAAGACATAATTAAAACCAGATTAAATAATTTATCCCGAGACAATTAAAAATCCCAATAATTTAAAACAGATTAAAAGTTTGATTTAAAAGAATTTTAAAACAGGGGAGAAAATTAGGCCAGGCCAGCTTGATTAAATTAACTTTCCATTGATATATAATACTACTCCCTTGATATTGATATACTACTCCCAAACAAAGTGGTGTTGTTAGCTAGTTTTAGAAAATACACTTTTCCCAAAAGGTTTCCACAATTTTGGCCACTGCTGTAGTTTATTGCAAACAATGCAGTATCTTGCAACTGGAGAATGTTAAGGGCATAGACCTGTCTCCTTGGGAACTGCAGCCATGTATTTTGCTTAGACAAACATTCCTCCCTACAGTCTGCTTTCTAATATTAGTGCAAATGTTTTTTTTACCAATATCAATGAAAGAATTCCCTATCTATATGGATAGTCATTGACTTATGATCAGTCACTTAGTGACTGTTTGAAGTTGCAGTTATCCCTTCCCTCAAAAGCTACTTATGGCCCGGTTTTGAAGTTCTGACATTGAGGTTACATGACCACATTTTGACACTCAACAACCGGTTCACATTTACACGGTTTGCAGCATTCTGCAATCAGGTAAACACAATAGTTCTGCCAGAAACTGGTGTTTACTTTCAGTTTCCGGTGAAACCCAGCCCATAGTTTACAATGGGTTCACTTAATGACTGCTGGATTTGCTTAATAATTGCTGCAAAAAAAAGTCATAAAATCAAGTCTAGTCATAGGGTGACTCGCTTTACGACCATTGCAACTAACAACAATTCAGTGATGCGGTGGATGTGATGGGCCGGTGCTTGGAGGCTGTGAGGGTCTGGATGGGAGTCAACAGGCTCAGACTTAACCCAGACAAGACTGAGTGGCTGTGGGTATTGCCTCCTAAAGACTATGTTGACTGTCCATCCTTGGTTCTGGGGGGGGGGGAGAAATTGTTCCCCTTAGAACAGGTTCGCAATTTGGGTGTCCTCCTAGACTCACAGCTAAGATTAGAGCAACATCTGACAGCTGTGGCTAGGGGGACCTTTGCACAGGTTTGCCTGGTGCACCAATTGCGACCCTAATTGGATCGGGAGGCTCTCCTCACGGTCACTCATGCTCTTGTCACCTCACGGTTAGATTATGGCAACACGCTCTACATGGGGCTACCCTTGAAAAGTGTTCGGAGACTACAGTTGGTCCAGAATGCAGCCGCGCAAGCTGTCATGGGTGCACCTAGGTACACCCACATTACACCAATTCTCCACGAGCTGCACTGGCTCCCTATTGGTCTCGGGTCACAATTCAAGGTGTTGGTTATTACCTTTAAAGCCCTACATGGCTCAGGGCCAGGGTATCTTCGAGACCACCTTCTACCGCATAACTCCCAATGACCGGTAAGATCCCATAGAGTTGGTCTCCTCCGGGTCCCGTCAGCTAAACAATGCCAGCTGGTGGGCCCGCAGGGGAGGGCCTTCTCTGTGGCTGCCCCAGCTCTCTGGAACCAGTTACCTCCTGAGGTCCGGACCATCCCCACCCTATTGGCCTTCCGAAAAGCGGTGAAGACCTGGCTTTTCCGGCAGGCCTGGGGCCGTTGATCTCGCTCTTGCGATCTGGCGAGATCCGCCATGAATTGTGTGAATGAGTTTTAATGTTTTTAATGTTTTTAATTCTTAAATGTTTTTTATAATGATTTTAAATGCATTGTGAGCCACCCTGAGTCTTCGGAGAGGGGCGGCATACAAATTGAATTAATAAATAAATAATAAATAAACTGTAATTTCCAGTCTCAATCACAGTCATACCTCAAAGACTACCCATATGAATCTCAGCAACTTAAAGATCTTCAGATTTCAAATCCCAGAATCCTCCAGCCAGGGGAAATTCTAGGAGTTAAAATCCACCTATCTTAATCACAGGTATTCAGCTTTTCCACTACGTGTTTCCCCGAAAATAAGACCCTGTTTTATATTTTTTTTGAACCCCAAAATAAGGGCTTGGCCTTATTTTTGGGGGGTCTTATTATTTCGGGGCACAATTTGGGGGTGGCAGATGGGGTGGGGAGGGGGAGAAGTGAGGGGCAGGAAACCTTGCCATGCCCCGTGAGAGAAGAGATGGCAAGAATCACAGTTGCTTTTGCAGCCGCTTGAGGCTGCAAAAGCAGCAAGAGAAACGGTGGAGGGGAACCAGGAAGATCAGGTAGATGAGATGCTGGGTGGTGAGGGTGGCGGCCATGAAAGTACCCACTGTGCAGGGGCGACTGAGCCTGCATCGCGCAGCTGGCCGGGGCGGCCACAGCTTCCTGAGTGCAAGGCTTTCCCGGTCTCTGGACACCGGGCCCTCCCTGCCCTCCGCTTCCGAGCAGGGAAGCTGTCCTTGGCGGGCGGAGTGGCAGCTTCCTCCTCCTCCACGAAGGCCCGCCCTGCTTAAAGGCCCAGCGTGGTTCTTCCCCTAGCCTGCCCTCCAGCCCCTTCGCCAGCCTCTCTCCAAGCGCTCCAATTGCGCGGTCTCCCCACCCCTCGAGATAAACCAGCCAAGAGGTGCACAGCAGCGAGCCGAACCTGTCCTGAGCCTCACCGCTTTCGGTCGCTGCCTCCCTGCCCCAAGGCTCCCGCAGCGTGCCCGTTTGCACAAGCCAAGGAACCCTTTACCACCAGTTCTGCCTTCAGGGCTCTACTGGGTGGGGCCCCCTCCCCACACATCCCTGACCTGCCTGTCAATGTTATAGAAGATGCAACATTGCACACTGCCCATAGGCAACATGCAGCGTCTCACAGTAACGAGAATTGCCTGCAATTCTCCTTATTGTGAGAGGCTGCACGTTGCAAAGAAGAACAAAGCAAGGCAGTGGGGGATGGGTGGAGGATAAAGCAAGGCAGGAGCTGCAGAGCTGCCAGAAGGCCCTGCATCGGCTTACCTGAAGGCCCCTCAGCCAGGCCACCCATGCCAAACCCCCTTCCCCCCCCAGGGCAGCCACATCCCTTCACTAACCTGCTTTCCACCCCCAGGAGCATAACAAATTAAAGTTTAATTTGTGAGTATTGTTTAATGGACTGCTAAATTGGCCATGCCCACAGTCACATGTCCATCTAGCCACGCCAACACAGCCCACCTGGCCCCCCAACAGTTTGAGGGACCGTGAATTGGCCCCCCTGTTTAAAAAATTTGAGGAGACCTGGCTTAGTGTGTCATATATACATACATACCCCTTAACTTTCTCTTGACATTCTAAGCCTGTTCAAAGCCCATTTGCTTTGTATCCAGCATTCACAGAGGGTAAAAGAAGATATTTTCTTGCACCAAAAAGATGATTTTAGCTCAAGATTCATACATTCTCAATTAGCTTCTTGGAAATGTCAAGAAGCTAAGAAACTCATATGGGCTTTCAGGGAGGTGGGAAAAGCTATAGGACCTATTCACCTTCAGAAGAGCAGATCTGGAAAGAGCAAACATCTGCTAATTAATTTATGAGTACCTGGAATTGGTCCAGGGATCGAACTAAACACCGGATTTGCATTATAATTTTCCCCCTTGAAAATCTCTGCAGCAAAAGTGCATTATCTTGAAAGCCTTGCATATAGTTTCAAAAGCTCCCTAGAAGTGTTAACAAACTGTAGTGTTTGATGTGACAAAAGGAACCAATTTTCACATAGATACTGAGATGGATATAATAATTTTAACATTAGGTTTCTAAGTTCTTTAAAAAAAAAAAAAAGACTGGTTTAAAAATTAAACCAGTGGGGGAATATCCATTTTGTGAAATTTTAGTCTATTCAGAAGTCCTACTTTAATTAATAAGAAGAAACACTATTAAGAACCTTAATAGAGGACAGCAAAAACCTACCATGTTATTATCTCCTCCACTGAAATTGAATTTATTACTGATTTGTAGCTTGCTGAGGCTGGAGCATCACAAACTTTTTCAAAATAGTTCGTCTTACAATTTTTCTTAACTTGCCTGCAGAAGATGTGGCTTTTTGAAGCCTAGCACTGAGATTTCAGTTCAAGAGTATCAGATTGCTGGAGTTATTTGTAACTTCTCTTTTTTGGAGCCAAAAAGAAAACCCAAGATCAACATATCAAGCTGATCTTGTAGAGCAATACAAGCTCCACAGTGAACCAATAAAAATAAATAATATACCTGAATGGATGTCAATTTTCACAGACAGGAAAGAATCGGTAGGGCAGATAAATCTTTATGAATCTGAAAAATGGTAGAATTTTTTGAGGGACTTAACTTTTTTGGATAATACAAGACAGAATGTGGGGGGGGGGAAGGTGAAGAATTAGGGAGGATGGAAGGATTTAAAGTGGCTCAGCAACAACGCTGTGCCCCAGGGGACAAGTTGCACAGTTCAGTTATTTAATTGTAAAACAGGAATGAATATCCTGTAGGCTTCAAACAATAGCTGGTCATGAACTTTCCTATGACTTTTTGAGCCTCTGGCAACCATACCAAAGATTCCAGATGATGGTTCCATATTGTGGAGGAAAAAATACAAACATGGCAGGGTTTAGGGGGTTTTTTAATAAAAGGGGAAAGCTGAACAAGAGGCAGAGAGAAGGCAAAAAGGGAAACGCTGATAATCCACCTAGTGCAGTGATGGCTAAATTTTTTGCCGTCACGTGCCAAAAGCAGAGGGAGCATGGGGGGGGTACGCACGAGTGTGCCCACACCCATAATTGAATGCCCCACTGCGCCCCCCCCCCACGCATGCACATGCAACCCCACTGCACTCCCCCAACTTTTGGCATGCAATGGCAAAAAGGTTACCAGTGGGCCCGGTAGACCTGTTTTTCGCCCTCCCCAGGCTCCAGATGTTTTCTT